ATGTGTGCTCCCAAGACGTCTCGGTGTTATGGTCACCCCAAGATCTTTCTCCTTGAGCGAGGTTTCCAGTCTTTGGCGACCTAGCCTATACTCCGTCTGCGGTCTTCTTTGCCCTTCCCCAATCTTCATGACTTTGCATTTGGCAGGGTTGAATTCAAGAAGCCAATTGCTGGACCAGGTGTCCAGCCTGTCCAGGTCTCTTTGTAGTCCTGCCGATCCTCATTCGATTTAATTCTCCTCATTAACTTCACATCATCTGAGAACAGTTATTATCTACATTCACTCTGGGTACAACTTCAACGTTACCAAAAATAACTTTAAATACTTTAAATCCTGAATAGCAGATAAGTACAGATTATTGAGGGATTACCGAAACATGTAAAATGGGATTGAGTAAATCCTCGCAGGGGATGATGAGAGACGGGGGCAGGAATTTTATTATTTTGCAACAATTAGGTCTCAGTACCCAGGCTGGAACAATACCCTGGCTGGAACAATACCCAGGCTGGAACAATACCCAGGCTGGAACAATACCCAGGCTGGAACAATACCCAGGCTGGAACAATACCCAGGCTGGAACAATACCCTGGCTGGAACAATACAAAAATAACCTACAATACCCTGGCTGGAACAATACCCAGGCTGGAACAATACCCTGGCTGGAACAATTCACAGGTAACCCACAATACCCTGGCTGGAACAATTCACAGGTAACCCACAATACCCTGGCTGGAACAATTCACAGGTAACCCACAATACCCTGGCTGGAACAATTCACAGGTAACCCACAATACCCTGGCTGGAACAATTCACAGGTAACCCACAATACCCTGGCTGGAACATTTCACAGGTAAACCCACAATACCCTGGCTGGAACAATTCACAGGTAACCCACAATACCCTGGCTGGAACAATTCACAGGTAACCCACAATACCCTGGCTGGAACAATTCACAGGTAACCCACAATACCCTGGCTGGAACAATTCACAGGTAACCCACAATACCCTGGCTGGAACAATTCACAGGTAACCCACAATACCCTGGCTGGAACAATTCACAGGTAACCCACAATACCCTGGCTGGAACATTTCACAGGTAACCCACAATACCCTGGCTGGAACATTTCACAGGTAACCCACAGGTTTTAAACCCAACTAAGCAAGCAAACGTAGCAACACAAGACTGACGTAGCAACACAAGACTGACGTAGCAACACAAGACTGACGTAGCAACACAAGACAGACGTAGCAACACAAGACTGACGTAGCAACACAAGACTGACGTAGCAACACAAGACTGACGTAGCAACACAAGACTGACGTAGCAACACAAGACTGACGTAGCAACACAAGACTGACGTAGCAACACAAGACAGACGTAGCAACACAAGACAGACGTAGCAACACAAGACTGACGTAGCAACACAAGACTGACGTAGCAACACAAGACTGACGTAGCAACACAAGACAGACGTAGCAACACAAGACTGACGTAGCAACACAAGACAGACGTAGCAACACAAGACACTCGTAGCAACACAAGACAGACGTAGCAACACAAGACAGACGTAGCAACACAAGACAGACGTAGCAACACAAGACTGACGTAGCAACATAAGACAGACGTAGCAACACAAGACTGACGTAGCAACACAAGACAGACGCAGCAACACAAGACATTCGTAGCAACACAAGACAGACGTAGCAACACAAAACATTCGTAGCAACACAAGACTGACGTAGCAACACAAGACTGACGTAGCAACACAAGACAGACGCAGCAACACAAGACATTCGTAGCAACACAAGACAGACGTAGCAACACAAAACATTCGTAGCAACACAAGACTGACGTAGCAACACAAGACAGACGTAGCAACACAAGACAGATGTAGCAACACAAGACTGACG